AGATGAAAATGTGACTAATGTTATAGGCTATAAGTCTGCACTCAACCATTTCTAGCTGTATATAAGCCATCAGGATGAAGAGCAAATATGTCCCCCACGTCTACAGCAAGAGACAGGAAGTAATACAATAAATAGATCTTGCGCTGCAGCTCAGAGATTTTTGCAAACATTTTCCATAAAAAAGGAGAAATGTCAAAATGTTTATGTACTTAACCTCTGGCACCTCAGCAGTTATTCCCCATTGCTCCACAGAGCAGACTACTTTGTTTTAATCCAGCTCAGGATGACCCTGCACAGCGCACCGTAGTACTGCGTCATCATAACAGGCCAGGTATTGACACAGGGGCTCGTTTACGTCCACAGTGCAGAGGGATTAGGAGCTTTGATGCCAGATTCACAGACAGTAGCGCAGCAAAGCTAAAGCCCCTCGGGGTTATGATGATATTCATTTCTTTACCAGATGTTATGAAGGAGCAGGAGAAGAGGAGTAAGAGGAGAAGGAAAATATGGCGGACAGACTGCACCAGACGTTCTTTAATCTTAATATAATTTTACTAATTTATGCACTGTTGCTCATTTTTAATAAAGGGATAACTTAGTCCTCTCTGGTGGGTTTCAAAAGGTTCATAAGGTGTTTTTATGTTAAGAAATATCCATTCTGTCTGTCAGCTAATGAGCAATACTCATCTCATTCAATCCATTAATTAAGCTCTGCTGTTGCAGTCAGATCTAACCATCTCTTGTCTTTGTAATTGCTTAGAGGGAATACAAAGGATGTGTATATGTTAGCATTAGGTTTTACATCATTAGTACCACTAAGGGTCAGTGTTTTTGATCATCTCTTAATTTACCTCCTGGCCTTCAGAAGAATCAACCCCATCTTCCCTGTTCTTCATTATGGAGGCTGTAAACAGAGCCACTGTGTTTCCCTGTTGACACAGTCAGGCTGAGTGGTGCTGATGCAGTGACATTTCACAGTAATAGGAGAATGATAATCCACACACAATTGCTTCTCCACTTTTACACTATAGAGGAGGCCATGAGGGACACACCGCTTCTGCAGAAAATCTGCTGCTTACCAAGTGACCATGAACATGATACCCGAGCCCTCTTTCTTTAACTCTTATTACCCTGGCGAAAATGGGAGTCCTGCAGGATCAAACCATCTGTGCTGACTAGGTAAATGGGAAGAATGAGGCTCGACAGAAATAAAAGCAGCAAGAGCTCACCCAAGTGGCAAAAATGAAAACTTCCCCCACTTTTTAAATCCAGTTGGATATTTATCACTCTGGTAAATAACTATACTGAGGTTGTTAATTGCCTTTTAAATCCATGCAGTAAGTTGTCCAGATCTGATTTTCTGCTCACAGTTAAATTAACTCTTGAAATGGCCTTTCTACTGCAGCAATGCACATTAGAAACTTAAAACCTGCAACATCAGTCAAGCAGACGTCATTAAGACAAAATCTCTAGCAAGAGGAGACTACGAGACTTCCAATGAGAGCTGGGCCTACATACTGTAAGCCACTAGCCTACGTCCACACAGCAATAATCACATCTCTGTTACAAAGTATGTACAATGAATGTCATGCACTTGTCAGTTTCAACTGTAGATTTTACTTTACAGCCTGAAAACTGGAAAACATAGTACTGAACAAAAACATTTACAAACTAATGACACACAAAAATGAGTGTTACAAAATACCCAGAAATCCCCAATTATAACTGAAGAACTTTTCTGAACAAAGTTTTGTTTCAACTCCTATATTTCACTGTCAGCTCTGCCTCGTCCTTTAAAAGTCCCAAAAGCCTGCACCTCCATGAGCTCACTCTTGTTCCAGATCACTGCTGCCAGTAATTGGAAACAACTGAAAAAGGCTTTGAGCTGGAACCATTTTCATCTCTGTGACTCACTTACACACGCTGGCTGGAGATACTTGCAGTTACTTCCTAAGCCAATGAGAACTAGGACAAGTCACAGTGTTACCATGTTCAGTGGCACTGTTTTGATCAATCTCACCTGTATTCATGTCACTTACTATCAGTTTCCCCCTGTGGCTGTGTGTGCTGCTCTATGCTACTTGTTACATCCAACAACACCTTTTCTTGAAACAGTTTTCTGCTTCCATGCCCATGTCTGTTGCTGCTGAGATCCCTTAGGAGTAGATACTCTTCATTACACCACTGTAGCTTAACTGTATCTGTTATTGTTTTGCCTGTCATCTCTTTTTTAAATGTACTGACATTTAACTTGTTTCTCACATGTATGATTCTAAAGCAAAGCAGGCATGGGTTAACACTGATGGTCTAGAGGCTATGCACAAGAGAAAACACATACTGTACAAATTATAACTATAAATTAACTGTGCACACTGCTTATGCCAACAGAAATTTGATGTGCGCAGTATTAAAAGACTAGAGTTTGGGAGCCAACTGTTTTGGCTAGTGATCAGTCAGAGCAAAATCTATCTGAGGTCCCTCATCACAGTGTAAAGTGGGAGTAGTGTAACCAAAGAGATGGTTTCATTTAAATCATGCTTGAGCCCTGAGAGATAAAGCCATCTGAAATTTCACAAGGAAAACAAGTATAAATCAGAGAAAAATGTTCCAAACTCACCAAATCTTTATGCAACCCTGTCTCATGAAAATAGTATTTCTATACTACTAAATATTTTGGCCAGTCTACTTATCATATATTCCAAAAAAAAACATTTGTTTTGCTCCATAGACCTATAACATATATACACCATGTTAATGCCTCATTGTTATTCCATTGTTGGCTATATAAAGAGCCAGCACATGCTGAATGATGCTCTAGTCACACCAAAGGCTTACATAAGGCCTAAATTGCACAACAGCTGCAGAGGAACCTGCAGTGATAATCATCCCATGCAGAAGAAGATAAGCAGCCCATCAACACAGTGCTGCTCTAATCATAGCATCTACAAACATGTAGCCTCACAGACTGGTAGTCACACTACTAGAGGCCACTCAGCTACACAACACCAGAATACAGCAACATAACGTTGAACACATAAGCCAGACTGCGTGAAGAGACTGTTACACTGAGATGAACATACAATAAGTACATTGTCCAGTCGGACCAAACAGAAAACCCTCCCACAAACACCCTGTCACCAAACTGTCACACTGCACACAGTTCATTAATTCATGTCTTACCTTTAGATGAGCTTCTTCTGTGTCAAGTCATCAAAGCACATCAACCTCCAGGCCAAGACATGTTATTTCTTCTTGGTGTCTCCTGCAACAAAGCCAGTCATAAATCCTTCTGCATTCTGATGCCAGGAATACACAGGCAAAGTAATACATCAAACCTGATGATGGCGAGAACACGAGCTATTCTCTTGGTACAGTTTAATTGTTCTGGAGGCGGCAATGCAACAGCTTAGTAGCAAAAGAGCTATTTTTCTTTCAATACCATGGTCCCACAGATCTGTCAGCCTTGTTTTGAAAGGCTGCAATCAATAGCCGCCTCCTGAACTTGAACACATTGTTTAGAAAATAATTAAATATTGATAACCTGATGCTGGCCCATCTCTATTTTCATAGTTTCTCTATAAACCACCAACATTTGTGCCTGTAGCAAACAGCTGGTAGCCCTGCTCCTCCTGCTTCTTGACCTGTTATCTTCTAATTTGCATCTGACCCAAGTGGTGGTGGAGACATTTTAATGTTTTTACTTTCTGTAAGTGTAACTAGGAGTACAATACTGTAAAATAAAGTTGCAATAAAAATTGTTCTTAAATATACAGTATCAACATGAACTGCAAATATAAGCAGGTTAACTTGAGGCAGCAATTTTACAGTGCAATAAAATTCAGGATATTTTTCAATAATCAGTGTAAATTCATCTTAAATATTGGTGCTACAGTGAAGATGAGGAGTGAGATTTGGAGTGAAAGGCCACAACCAAGTAACCAAGTATCTCATATTATAAATATATTATTGACATCTGCAACAAACCAAACTGGAAAATCTGCTGCATATTCAGTGTTATGGTTATTTTTTGTTGTGTATATACCTCCAAACTTCATAAACATACAGTACACACACACTTACATGCATTAGGAGGCACGACACTGCCGCCTCAACACAGGGCAGCATCCCATGTGTCATCTAGTGTTAAAATGGTCTAATCTATGTGTATTAATTAATGTTGATGGTGGCTACACATGGCTCGTCATAGATGTTATAAGACAAATACGTTCAATTATGCAACACATTTTGAATTCCAGCTAACCTTATGCAAGTCTGCTACCTGGCCAGTTCCAGACATTTGGTGACATAAAAGCTGTTTATTGAACAAAAACCTAAGAATTCAAACCCAGCAGCGCCCAACAGTTCCAGAGAATCCAGACTGAGGTCAGGTGTGGCCCAGGTGTCTCAAGGAGCACTGATTAATTCTAACTCCACCCCCATTTAAACTTTCTAGCCTTAGATCCCAAGACTCGGGAGAAGATTCTGAGACTGTTTTCCTGTAGTTATGTTCCACTTTAATCTGATCCTAACCTTCACAGTATAGTATTGCTTCTCTTGCTAAAGTAAGACATGTGAATACTTCCTCCACCAGTGTATTTGTCAGTACTCAACTACTACAAATCCCTTTTCAACCTTTTCAACTACACTTCACTTTGCACTGAGCAAAAATGACCATCTCTGAGAACATTCTCAACTACACTTCACTTTGCACTGAGCAGAAATGACCATCTCTGAGAACATTCTCAATCTGTGTTCTTCTGCCATTATCACAGCAACTCTGCAGCATGCAGTTATCGTTGGCCTACATTTTTGAGCTAACCAAACACAGATGTGCTCAGAGCAAGCAAATCTCAAAGTCCACCTCTGCTTCCACCCCCTTCTTTGATTGGCTCGTGGAAATGGTAGAAGTCAGGGGGTGAAGATGTCTCCACCCTGCTGTAATTTAGGTGCCATGATTTTATTTTGCTATCTTTCCTGTGCTCTTAACAGACACTGGTAAGATGGCCTCTGCACACGACAGAGCTGTACTCCAGGCTATATTCAACCCCACCACCCCCTTTGGAGACTCCCCTGGCCTGAACCAAGAGGAGGAATTAATTGACGATGGTGAGCATGAGCTGATGTGTCTCCACATATCGCATCATGACTTTTTAGGTTTATCATTTCATACCATATTTAATTTATTGGAATGTATTCAATTCCTGGTCTAAAAAAAACAACATTTTAATCCAAGTTTAGTTCTTGCCATGGTACCTGTCAATTCAGTTTGAGTGTTTTTTCAGCCTGTTTATCTCTCCCTGCCAGACAGTGGCTTTGACGCTGACTTGCTGAAGCAAGTGAAAGAGTTGGAGATGCAGGGCGTCTTGGCAGCAGAAGCTGGGGATTTGCAGACTGCACTTCAACTGTTCAGCCAGGCAACCCAGATCCTGCCTCAGCGAGCCTCAGCCTATAACAACCGGGCACAGACCCTGCGGCTACAGGGGAACACAGCAGGTACATGCCACCGATTCAGTAATAACCCTTTCTGTAGACACCGCAGCGCGCCGACACATCAGACCGCTGAGTCTGAGGCCAGCATGACACAGTATCAGAGCTTTGTCTATCTGATGCACTTTGTCAACAGCGCTACTATGTATGTACGCTTTGAGCTAGCCCTGTGTTAGGTTCCTTTACCTGCCGTCTGTCACAAGGCTGGCAGGGCTGCACACACTGAATGTGAATGCGTATATGTGAAAGTCATATCTGAATCGTCTCAGAGTTTAAGGTTTCCTTCTGCGATTACTTTCATTTGTTCTTTTGATTGTTAGCAAATCTGTTGTGATTTTTATTACAATAATCAGAAGTGTAAGTGTGGTTTTTATCTTTTATACTTTGTATTCTTGGGAGAATGTCTTGGTGTGGTGCTTTTATACTCAGTCCCAGGACAGCACTCTGTCAACCACACCATGTGCTCAGTACTGGAGCATTTTTAACTTGCAATTTGTGTTTCTAAAATTTGAATTTCTATCTGCTGAACAGAGTCCAATACATTTGAGAATGATGCACCTTTTGGTTAATGAAAAACTTGAGATTGATATTTGTTTTTCTTGTTGGTTTTAAAATTATGCTAATATTATAATTGCTGTATTTTATTTATTCGACTGAACTATGTACCCCACAGTACTTGTTCAAGTAATTCAAAGCAAATTCAACTATACTCATAGTGACTGTTGCAGCAGACTGACTTGGAGCCAGGGTGGAGTAGTCTGTAAAAAGGTTTCAGAATCAGCTTTCCAGATGTGCGTGTCTCACAGAGCTCTGCTTTCCTCTTAGGTGCCCTGGAGGACCTGGACCGAGCCATCTCTCTGAGTGGCAGCAGTGGACGAACTGCCTGCCAGGCACTGGTGCAAAGAGGCCTTTTACGTAGATTAGCATGCCAGGATGATGCAGCCAGAGAAGATTTTGAGAAAGCAGCTGCACTTGGAAGTGAATTTGCTCGACAGCAGGCTGTGCTTCTTAATCCATATGCAGCCCTGTGCAACAAAATGCTGTCAGAGGTGATCAACAAACTATGCAACCCAGAGGTGTCTGAGATGAAGTAGCTAGTGAGAACAGTTTCTTATCTGTGCAGCTTTTTTTTAAAGACTGTCATAGATTTTTTTTAAATGCTGATTTTAAGGCCATTTTTAGTCCTTTAAGTGTGCTGCTTTAACTAAATCAGGCCAACTGCAAGTCAGATTTATTATGACACGCATACAACTACAGTCTAAGTTGTCAGTGTTCACAAAGCATGCACTGCTGTATTCAATCAAATGTGACATACTGTATAGGACACAGGATACCATGTTCCACATCCAAACACCAAACTGTGATGTGTACTTCTGCTTTTGTCCAGCAGATGGCAGTCACGTCACATCAGTCAACATCTGCTGCATCTGTTTCTTTGAAATAATGCTTCACACCACAAGAATGAAATAAGATGTTGGTGTGGTAAACAAAGGCAAATTAAACTTATTAGCTGATACTGCACAACATGAGAATTGCTCTCAAACACAATATATAAATACATTTTTTACTTCAGTGTCAGGATTATTTAAGTTTCATCTTCTCTCAATAAACCCTGAAAACACTTCATAAATAGACTTGAGATGTTACAAGAAAACAGGTCTTCAACACACAACATCTCTTAATGTCCTTCTGTTTCTATGCAGTAGCTGTATATGTAAAGGCTTATTTCACTCCAGAGTTTTGTGTGTCCATGTCCTAATATGGCACTGCTTGTGATGTGGTCCACCCGCTGAGCTCTGGGACCTCAAGCATCATCTTTGATGCTTTACTTTTCCAAGTTTGTCTCTGACCTCGCCTAAGCAAGCTAAAGCCACCGGCTCAGAGCGTTCCTGTCTCTGGTAGAAGGAGCATGCTTTCAGGTGTTCTGACATGGAAGGAATACTGCTGAAGCTCCATCTGTCCACAGAGGAAAACAGTGAACTGAACTCCCAAACCTGTAAAACACAGAGGCAGAGCTGAAGGAAAGTGTAGGAGGCTGCTGTCGTGGCATCTGTCAACTGTGCTGCAGCTCTAAGGCCATGAGGACAAATGTATTTTTAAAATCCAGGGAATCTAGAACTGAATATTTTTATCACCCTAAGGCATGACATTACACAGTCTTACACAGTCTTATCAATAACCGATGTTTCCATGAGTGAATCTGACTTGATATGGTAGCACTGTGTTTACTGGCAGTGAGGCCTCAGGCCATTCCGTGTCACTGGTATCACTGGCATGCTCTCTGTCTCATGATCACAGCAGCACAGAAATAGTCAATGTAAAAATACACACATATATGTATTGATGCTGTATTTACCCTTTATAACCACCAGGAGAGACTTTTTCACCACATTTCCAGTTGTGTGGTACATTTAATTCAGTTTGTATTTGTTGTATTGTTTTCCTATGAATGCCGGAATTATTCCATGTTTGATATAAACTGCCATTAAATAAATTCAAATTAGATACGACATGTGGTCTCAGTACCTCAATAGTACTTAAAGGAACCTTGCATACTGCTGGGGTTCCCCATGTAGGTGGCAAAATCATGAAGTTAAATGGCTGTAGCTCACTGGCTGTGAGTCTAGATCACTTGAAATTTCAACCACAGTTCTCTTATCATTTCAGTGCTCCGACCACTAGACCAGAGGCGCCCTTGTGGCCTAGTGGTCTAATCCACAGGGTCTAAGGTCTGGCCTAGTGGTTTACTTTAGACAAAATATTCCTGTTTTGATTCCAGCTGTGTTCATTCCCCCTTAACTCCCAGTTCCCCTGAATCTCTTTACTGTCAACTACCAAATAAAGACAAAAAACACCAAATGTACTTCAGGTCTGGATGCAGATGTACATTGTTTTTAATGATGACTGTGCAGCCTTGGTGGAGGTTTGCTTCCTAAAGAACTGTTGTCAGTTTCTTTTTATACTGATCTAAATCAGCATGTTGCAAAACTAAATAATAGATTAGCTCAACTGTCTAGTAACCAGACCACTGCTGACACCAGAGTCAGAGAAGACAAACTATTCTTTTTCCAAATAAATGTCCTCATGGTGTCTCAACAGATAAGCAGGGAGTCCTTGCTTCAATGGGAACCAACCAATAGTTGTTGCCAAGCTGTGATTCAGCTTGTAAAATTGTTAGAGAGTCTGGAGAGTGTTTACAGAACGGCAGCTGTCATGCATATGAAGGGGAGAAATTTTCCACTGACAGATAATACGAATGGGGAACTGACATAAATGTTTGGCCTAGTGTTCACTGTCCCTTCACTGTAGAAAAGCTTGAGATCAAATGGACAAATGAGATGGACTGGTAGTGCTCAGTCCATCAAACAAATAAAATGCTCTTCAGCCGTTTAGTTAATTACGAGAGATGATTCAAGTAAACAGTCCAACATAAGACATTTAAATGTTATGGCAGAGAAAAACTAAAAAATCTTAAGAATACTTGCTTTCTTTCGACATCTCCAGGAGCTTCCACCCCGGGAATATGTCTTTCTCTCCCACTTGAGGGAGACCATCCCTCTCTCCTGCAGCAATGTGGCACACACCTCTCGCATCAGATGGGAGACCTGGGACAGCTGAGATAAGGTAAAACTGTCAAGGTAACCAGCAATGTGCTGAAGGATCTCCAGAGGCAGCCCGCTCAGGGGATCCAGATTATGTGAACCACTTCTCTGTGGGCTGCTTTTCTTGCCCTCCAGGAGGGATGAAGGCACTTGTGGCTGGAGGACAAAGGCACTGACATCTGGGCAGAATTTGACTGTAGCTTGGTCAGCTGCAGGGTGAAACCTTGTCTGCGTGAAAGTACAGCCGAGGTATGCCAGGGGGCAGCGTTGTTGTATCCAGCCACTTAGAGAGGCCTGTATGTCAGAGTGCACATTCCTGAAATGAGAGCGGTATTCATCACGGCGAAAGAAGTGGCCACACATGTAGCTGAAGGCTGAACTTGTCTTGTTATGTCTTCTGGTGACAGGTTCTGCTTCAACGTGTACATAAAGGCCACGAGGTTTGTCCGCAATGACATCAGCAAGGGATGCATCCGGTTCGAATGGTGCAGAGGAAAAGTTGTATGTTTGTGTTCCTATATCCATATAAAGACCATCTATCGCCGCACTCTCAGAGATTAAATGTCCTTTCAGTTCCTTCTCCAGGGAGCAGAGGAGTGTGGCACTGACCTCGTCACACTTTGAAAGATCTTCGACTGACACGCCCAGATCTGCAGTGTCAACACACTGGTGTGTGGTCTGGGCCTTGTGTGTAGGGTCTTTCAGATGATTTCGCTTTGCTCTATAGCTGGTGGGAACTTTAAATGAGCGAACAGTTTTAACCTCAATGGGCTCCAGGTTCCCATAAACAAAATCCTTTTCTCTTGGGGTACAAGCGGCAAGTTGCCCGAAGTTAATCAACATTGCCCCATTGTGCACTAGATACATGTTATATTCACCAATGTTGAATTCTTTACCTAACCTTTCAAGGACCCCGTCTTGCCATGGTGCAAGGCCGGTTGCACCATCCATCCTCGGAGGTGCAGCAGCAGCAGCAGAAGCATTCTCCTGGTTCAGGTGTGAGTCTCCTGTCTCTCCCTGACAGCTTGATGATTCTTGCTCTTTCTTTTGCTTTCCCTTTTCATCCCTCTTATTCAGGTTTTTGACAGTTTGCTTGCATCCCTCCATCTCCTTTGTGAATATCTTCTCCCAGGAGCTGTAGTTTTGAATACTCTCCACATTCATGCTCTTTGCCAAAGCCTCCCTCTCCTCTTGATTCAGCTCTTCCTCCTCCACCCCTGCAAGGCCATTTTCTGTAAATTCACTACAATGTGAAGAACAGGCTGCTTCCTCTGCGAGACTGTTGACCCTGGCAGCAGTTTCCTGAAGGGCATGATTCTCCATCACCAGCTCTGGAAAAATGCTCTTCATTTTGATAGATCGAAACAGCAGCTCTTGGTCCCGCAGAGCCATAGCAACATCCAGGTCCAGCTCAGCTTGAGGATTTTCTGAAATATTTCTGTAAAAGGTCTGATCAGTTTCTGAGACAGGCCAGCGGATCCACTCCTGAGAGCAACAGACCACGCTGGCAGGACAGACCTCCAGGTGTTTGGCCAGCCTGTGGCGCAGCATGGTGAGAGGACAGCCATAGTTGGCATTGATGCAAGGGACTGTCTCATTGGGACAGAGACGCTGGTGCTCCTCTTGTTTGCACGTATGGAGGGTGGCGCCACAGGTTTTACGACATTTTATGATGATGCATGAGATAGAGGTCTGCACCGGGACTTGACACTGGACATTGTAACACTTTTCACAATGCTCATGTACCTCGGCCATCTTTCTGCTCTTCACCTTCAGAAATTAAAAAGTTAATTTGAAAAGTTTGTTTGAAAAATACTGACTTCAGACAAATGAAACAAACACACTCAGCATTGCAGCTTACGAACAGCAGAATATGTTCGTCTGAGAAGAGGCTCATGCAAGAATCTTGGTTAAATTTGCACTGATGAAAAGTACAAAGAGATGAATCACTTACAAATAAAGATTATTCCAAAAATATTTGATATACAACATAAAATACAAGTCAGGCAAACTAAGATAAAAATCTAAACAAATGACAGATTTTGAATGCATAAATAACATAGGTTGATTTAAATACAGCATTAATTCAACATTATTTTTTAAAATATACAGTACATGTACAAAATAAAGGCATTGTTTAGATCATATACAGTCACATGCTCAGGTCAAGAAAAAAAAAAGAAAAATGAAAGTTTTAGTAAATAAAAAGTGAACAACAGGGACAATAACAGAAACATTTCTCACCCTTTGTTCCTCTGTTCCTGTCACCTTGTGTTTGCTGGCACCTCTGAATAACCTCTGCACTGTGTCTGGACATTATAAATAGACACAAAAGAGGGGCAGACAGGCCAATGGGACAGGGCACCATTGTCACACAGCCATTAAGAGTCAAGGTCAAGTTACAGCCTGGCCTCACTGTGAGGGGGTGGTGAAAACAGCAGGCAATCACTTTAACTCCTGACATCAACATCATAATGTGTGCGATACATCGTCTTTACATGCACTACACTGGCAGCCTTTTATATTCCACTCCCAGTAAATGCTTGTGTTTACATTGTCTTCCAAAATGAATAGCAACATGTTAAAAACATAGATTAAACCAAATTAGTGCAATTAATATATGATTTTAGAGATGTTTCTCTTATTAGCAAATTGTTTTTAGTCATACAAAATGATTAATCATATGTGATTAAAACGTATACGGTAATGTTATAATGTGTTCTCCACTAGATGTCAGTCACACACTTTCAGAAACTCTGGCAGCTGTTGGTGCTGTCACAGAAAGTTCATAATATGGAATATTTAAATATTCTTTAGGGAGCATAAAAGTTTTGTTCGTAATGTTTTGAAAAGGTTTGCTTAAATTTATCTCAGGTCTGTACAGTCGATCATTTCCCTGTCTGAACATAAACCGAGGCAGTTTTAGGGCCTGTGTGTAATGTTTAAGGGAATTACACTGGAGGGAACATTACATTCATCAAATGACATTTTGGTTGAAAACAGGTATCATTTATAGGGTAGGCCCAGCAGCTGCCTTTTTTATTAATGAGATCACTTTTCAGTGGTGTCAGAACATAAACTACTGCCGTTTCACAACAACAGCGGTTTGATTGCATGAATAAACTAGCTTATTATTGTCAACTCCTACAATGTCCTGATTTTAAACTACATTCTATATATAAAAGACAGAGACCTGTCATTCTGTTATTTGAGTTTAATGCCATCTTTTTCATCCCTTTACAGAAGTACTGTGCTGTGCAGCATAACGGGGCATCGATCCAGCCTAACTAGCTTTAACTAATTACACACATTTGCACTGAGACTGGCTGAATTATTATTCCCTTCACTCTTCCATATCATCTCTAAACACCCCCTGATACCTACAGTATTTCCACTATATAAAATATGAGGGATCCACAATGTGCAGCTGATATTCTTCATGCAACTTTTTTCCCCACCTGGCACAGCTTACAATGAACAGCTTATCACAGGCAGCTGCTTCACGCTGCTTCACTCTCTGTAGTCTCTGCAATCAGCATACATTCCACCAAGAGAGAGAATGCACTGTAGAAAAAAGCTTTCTATTTCTATGTCATGTTGCTATAAAACAGAAGCACAGCTGAGGCTTGAAAGTTCTACTGTTAGTTTATCAAAAAAATTTCTTTTAAAGCCATTTAAATCATGTGTTGGGACGATGGATTAGTGCTCCATCACTGCTCTTATTGTATCACTGCACATTTACAAATATAATTTTCAGTAAACTCTGGTTTGATGCAAAGTTGAAACTTTATTTGTGCAAACTGCTGCCTTCAAACCCCAGAAAAGCTATTGACAGAAAGCGGCTGCGTGCTTTTGCTTTGACTCACCTTACAGTACATTGGTGATTAGCTACTGACGAGGTACAGTACAGTAATTTGAAGGTTAACATTTTATTCAGTCAGTACAATTATAAAACAGGGTAGTCCAGGAAACCCTGATTAACATTATTCAATAAATAAAACATTTTTAAAAAACCCTGAAGCAACAACAATTTGCTGTTTTGTGGGGTTGTGTGCCACAGTTGTTTGGTCTTGGCTGAACCATTTGCCAGGTAATAAGTGAAGACTTCTCATAGCTGCTGGACAAACAGTCCTGCACATAACCCCCAGCAGAACGGTAAACTCTGATTTCTACACTTTAGCTGTGAAACAGACCAGATGTGTTAATAACTGAGCTTTACAGGTACAGCTAGGAGCATTTTGTAACGTTTGGACAGGAAAGCTGTTTCCACTCTTGAGCTAAACTAAATTAACCTGCTGCTTGTGTCAAATTTAAGGGAGAGGCACTTGAGTATTAATCATTTTGTGCAACTCACCTCCGGTTAGCTTTACCCCACACACACATTAAAAAAAAGAACAAAAATAAGTACAAATCATTATTATACATGTCAGATTTACTGGCTGATACGTAGGCTACCTTTACATAATGTGTACAATGAAAGACAAACTACAGATTGATCGCCTCTAATAGAATCTGAATTGGTGTTAATAACATTCACCGATATGCAAGTGTTGTAAAAATAATCACAAATTTGAAATTCACAGTTTTTCCTAAAATTTCAAAGATGTTCATTCATTGGAAAAGAGTTTTTGAGTTTTACTGATAGACTGTAAAATAACAAGATGTTAAACAGAACACAGAAGTCTAATTTAATGAAATTCACTTTAACACTCAAAATGATCTTTTATGCAACCTGGCAGCTCAAACATGGATAATTACAGCCTGTCCATTTTCGGTGCTATGGATTTGAACAATTCTGTGGCTACGGGTTAATGATTCATGCATGCTCCATGTCATTTAACTCTAATTTAATGTTCTGAAATGAGTGGACAGCTTTAGATGGTAGAGAAATGTTAAACTTGATTAATATGCAAGGTACTCAAAAGCTGTCAGCAGACTTATAGTATGAAAGCATCTCTGATTTCAGGTTTTCCTTCTTCCACCAACACAGCACCACTGCATCCTTCTCTGGTCTGCAGATCCTCCTATAAATCCCATCCAATTCACTGAGATATCCCTGTTATTGCCATTCCTCTTAAAGATTGCCCCCATTTTGGGATTTCCATCTAGGTTATTATACAGTACCTGGCAAAACATATTAATAAGCCCAAACCACTGGGACAACACAGGGAAAAATATCCTATTGCTGAGTTTCCAAAGACCCAGGAAACTGTGCTGGAACTGTGTTTATTACAAAGCTCAGCCCAGCAGAGGCCTATAAATAAGCTGTTGACAAATATGGAAATGTGTAATGAAAATGAAAATGTCCCAACTCCAAGCTGAGCTCGGTTTGGGCTGTTAGACTGAGTAACCAGAGACTGTGTGCTTAGAACTGATTGCAGGCTTTGACTCATATGAAACACACATGGATTCAATTAAAGAATGAATAGATTTTTAATCTTCAGATAAAGCTTCATAAAGCTGAGCGGAGCTGCAGAGCTGTAGCTTCATCACCACTTGCAGGCCTGTTCCCCTTGTCGCATGGTTTTCATGTTGTCATTTGATACAAAATGTTCAATGCCATTTGAATTGATCAATGTGCAATACTGTTTCACATGTGATAATCCCACACGTGCCTTTTTTTGTAAGATCTGTGGTGGTGGGGTTTCTTTTCTTTGGGATGTTTTTAAGAAATGACTATTCAACTCATTAAAACTATAAACCATCTTCATCATCTTAAGGCACTACAGTCTTTTTAATCTGACACTGCAAATCACCTCACAGCTGTACTGTCCCATAGATTTAATAGCACATGCCTTTGGCTAAGTTCCTTCTGGATGACATATTGTAGCATTTGGTCAACAACAAACAGGAGGAGGGAACGTGTAGATAACCCATCTTCATATGAGAGGCCCGTTGAGACATAACTCATACTCAGGCAGCATAGGGTGTAGATAACCCATCTTCATATGTGAGGCCCATTGAGACATAACTCATACTCAGGCAGCAGTGCAGCCCCTATCAGCAAAGCTACTGAGACTTTGAAACAGCAGTACCAAACTTAAAGGTGGTCCAGTGGTCAGCACTGTTGTCTGCTAGATGGTCGATGAGTAGTTGAAGTCCACATTGATGAGTTCGTCGGCTGAGTTCCTTTTCAATCAAACTCTCTCACACAGACGACTATTAGCCTCTCGTTCACAATCATGCTGTAGCTTTCACATGACTATTCTCGTTCACACAGACCATTAATATCTCTTACATTTGCCATTATTCTGTTTTACATACACTATTAAACTCACTTACATATTCTATCATAATTTATTACATATGCAATTATTCCCTATTACATAAACTGTAATGCAAGAATATAATATATGCGCATGTGTGCATGCAAGTGTGTGTGTGTATGAGAATATATGGTGCTGTCTGTGAAAGGGTCGGCCTATGATGGTGCATATAAAAGAGTATTGTTGTGTGTGTTAGAGAGAATAATAGTTTGTGTAGGAGAGTATGGAAGTAAATAAATGAAAGTAAGACTGTGCATGTAAGAGGACGTAATAGTGTGTGTGGAAGAATAAAGTAGTGGACGTGTGAGATTATGATGTTGTGTGTATGACTGAGTATGGTTTATGTCTCATGGGGCCTCTCGCAACTTCACACCTAGTTATCACTTTGTCTTTCTACAGCCTCCCTCCTTTTCCATTTAATTAAGAGGGTGCCATACATGTTTTCTTTTAAATCCCTCTGCAGTTCAACTCTCCAGCCTCCTGTCGGAC